TGCTGCAGGAAGTGGTGGCTTCAAGCGTAAGCTTCAGGAGGGGATTGGATAAACATCTGGAGCAGAGGTGGCTATTAGTGACAAGGTATCAATGGAGCACTCTGTCTGGGGCAGAGATGCTCTGTATTCTAGGTGCTTGGGGGGCAACAGTGGGAGGGGCTTCTGGAGTTCTGGCCCTGCTGGTGGACCTCCTGATGGCACCGGGTTTTGGCCACTGTGTGACACAGAATGTTGGGCTGGATGGGCCACTGGCCTGATCCAACATGGCTTCTCTTATGTTCTCTTTATGTTCGTCACCTGGACTTGGAAACCCTAGGTGTAAATGAAGCAAATAAATGCCTACATAAAAATGCCATAAGATATGAGGATGTATTAGCGGAGCTTCTGTGATCCGTTTTTCACTTTAACAAAAAAAATGACGATGGCAGTGTAGACAACACTGACTTTGATGGACCGATGGTCTGATTCAGTAATGGCTGCTGCGTGTGTACAAAAAGATCTTAGGACTGCGACTGATCAAGCTGAACGTGAGCCAACCATGTGATGCAGCCCCAAAAAGGGCAAATGCAATTTCAGGCTGCAGGAATGGACACAGTGTATCCAGATCCTGAGAAGCAGTAGCGATACTCTCCTCTGTATTAGTCAGACCTCATCTGGAGTTCTGGATCCGGTTCTGGGTGCAGGCTGAGAAGTGAAGACGGGGCAACAGGGCTGACGATGGGCATTAGTTCACCCACTGCATCGTCCTTCACGCTTGAAGCAGCACAGGAAGAAACAGTTGGTAAGCAAACACAAACTGCCGTGGCTGATGAGGGTTTTGGGCCAACCAGCCACTGGGGCTTGGGTGGAGTTGCTGGGGTTGGGCTCCACGTGATTCTGGCCTGAACATAAGAAGAGCCCTGCTGGATCAGACCAGTGGTCCACCTAGTCCAGCATCCTGCATTATACAAGCACTTTGCCCTAGGAACATTCTTTCAGAGAATTTCTTGCAACTAAGTTATGAGACATTGGTGAATAATGAAATTTTTGATACCTACTTGTTGAAATGACAGACCAAGAGTCGCTGCTTTCATCCACTTTCGGAAGAAGAATAGTATCGAAACGATAGAACATTCCGGAGACCATCGTCACACCATTTTCAACTGCCTTGTGCATTTATATGATTTTTGTACACATTTTTGTATATATTTTGTGATTGATTATTGAAATATTTTCTAGCGCAGTTACCTCACAGTTTCTTCTTTTTGCGGTCTGTTCTGTGACTGTGACCATCATTTTTGAGCCACATTCCATACTCTCCTCTGTATTAGTCAGACCTCATCTGGAGTTCTGGATCCGGTTCTGGGTGCAGGCTGAGAAGTGAAGACGGGGCAACAGGGCTGACGATGGGCATTAGTTCACCCACTGCATCGTCCTTCATGCTCGAAGCAGCACAGGAAGAGACAGTTGGTAAGCAAACACAAACTGCTGTGGCTGATGAGGGTTTTGGGCCAACCGGCCACTGGGGCTTGGGTGGAGCTGCTGGGGTTGGGCTCCACTTGATTCTGGCCTGAACATCAGAAGAGCCCTGCTGGATCAGAGCAGTGGTCCACCTAGTCCAGCATCCTGTCTCACATAGTGGCCAGCCGGTTCCTCTGGAGGGCCAACAACAGGGCATGGCGGCCGGGGCCTTCCTGCCTCCTGGCCCTGGGATTCAGAGGATTAGTGCCTCTGAACGGGGAGGTTCCCCTCAGCCCACCATGGCTAGTAGCCACTGATAGACTTCTCCTCCATGGATCTATCTAATCCCCTTCTAAAGCTGTTTATTCCTGTGGCCATTACTACATCCTCTGGCAGCGGATTCCACATTTTAATCACTCTCTGCGTAAAGCAGCATTTCCTTGTGTCCGTCCTGAACCTACTAAGCCTTCTAAGACAGCGGCCCACCGGGAAATTCCCTGGTCAGTTAAATGGCCAATCCGCCGCTTTTGGGAACCTCATTTTAAGAAAGGCATGAGGCAAATCAGAAGGGGTTCAAAGAACAGTAAAGAAGGTGGTTGTGGGGATCTGGAAAACCAGCCCCATGAGAAAGGTTGATGGAACTGGGTATGTTTAGCCTGGAGAACACTGAGGGGGAGTCAGGATCGCATGGATGGGGCCCATACCGGATGGAATGGACACAAGTAATAGAAAAGTAAGCTTCCTCGTGGCAGGAACAGTTTGGCAGTTAAACCAGTTATGGGGCAAGGATGGGGTAAGGCGTATCTCCCCTACTGGAGGTCTTTGAACAGAGAATATGGATCTCTGTCTGCCAGGAATGATCTAGCTTTGGGTTTCTGTCAGTCAGCAGAGGGTTGGACTAGATCACGGGTTCCCAGAGTGGGCAGTACAGCCCCCTGGGGGGCTCTGGAATGATCCAGGTGGGCGGTAGGAGCCTTGGGTGCTGATTTGTCACTGCATCTTTTTGTCCACTTCTTGAAGGTAGATTTCCAGGGGGGTGCTGAGTAATTTTTATTCTGAAAAGGGGGCGGTGGGCCAAATAAGTTTGGGAATCTCTGGACTAGATGGTCTCTGAAGCCCCATCCCCGTCCTAGGGTGCTACGTAGAAGAAGAAGAGATTGGATTTATACCCTGCCCTTCACTACCCAAAGGTGTCTCAGAGCGGCTTACAAACTCCTTTCCCTTCCCCTCCCCACAACAGACACCCTGTGAGGTAGGTGGGACTGAGAGAACTCTGACACAAACTGCTCTTTTTCAAGGACAGCTGTGCCAGAGCTTGTGACAGACCCAAGGTCACATCAGCAGGTGCAAGTGGAGGAGTGGGGAATCAAACCCGGTTCTCCCAGATTAGAGTCCGCGCTCCTAACCACTACACCAAACTGAGAGATTGGATTTATACCCCACCCTTCACTACCCAAAGGTGTCTCAGAGCAGCTTACAAACTCCTTTCCCTTCCCCTCCCCACAACAGACACCCTGTGAGGTGGGTGGGGCTGAGAGAGCTCTGACAGAAACTGCTCTTTTTCAAGAACAGCTGTGCCAGAGCTTGTGACTGACCCACGGTCATCCAGCCAGGTGCAAGTGGAGGAGTGGGGAATCAAACCCGGTTCTCCCAGATTAGAGTCCGCGCACTTAACCACTACACCAAACTGTACTTTGCATGCTTGAAAGCATGGTGTAGATCAGGGGTCACCAGCTGTGGCGGGAACAAGAACGTCATGGCCGGAGCATTGCAGTTTGCAGTCCCTCGTGTGTGATTATTATTATTTTTTTTGGTGGGGGGGAGTGTACCTTTTAAATCATCACTCTTTAGCCTGTTCAGATTTACACTTGTGGTTGCTAGTGCCAATTCCACCTTGGGAAATTCCTGGAGGTCTGGGGATAACGTGGGGAGGGCAGAGTTCGGGGAAGGGAGGAAACTCAGCAGGGATGTGATGCTGTGGAGTCTGCCCTCCAAAGCGGCCATTTCCTCCAGGGGGAACTGGGATCTGGGTTGCCAACTCCGGCACGGGAAATTCCTGGAGATTTGAAAGATGTGCCTGGGGAGGTTGGGATTTAGGGGGCAAAGGCAACTCAGCAGGGCGTGATAGGCTTCTGTTTCTCCTAGACTCTATGGTATACCATAGACACCATCCTCTGAAGTCGCTGTATCTTTGCAAGAAACTGATCGGTGCACTCTGGAGATCAGTTGTAATGCTGGGGAGATCGCCAGGCACCACCTGGAGGTTGGCAACCCTGTTCTCAACCCCCCCCCCGTGAGCCTTTAGCTGGAGATGATCAGGACTTAATCCAGATGCATCATGGATGCTATCATGACCCCCCCCACTGGGTCACTGTTCTTCCTCTTTATGTGTACTCCTCTTTTTTTTTAAAAAAGGAAGTCAGTCAAAGAGCTCAAATACAGCATATATATATATGCCGCCTTTATTTAATTTTATTTATTTATTAAAGCATTTATACCCTGCTTTCCCTCGTGGTTCAAAGTGGCTTATCCTGAATCAGACCTTCTGCTCGGTCCATCGAAGTCAGTCTTGCTTACTCAGACTGGCAGCGTCTCTCCAGGGTCTCAGGCAGAGGCCTTTCCCATCACCTCCTGCCTCATCCTTTCAACCGGAGATGCTGGGGATTGAACCTGGGACCTTCCGAACGCCAAGCAGATGCCCTCCCATTGAGCCGTAGCTTCCTCTCTAAATGAACTTGCCTGTACCTGAGTAAGACCCTTGGCCCGCCAGGGTCAGCACTGTCTCCTCTGACCGGCAACGGCTCTCCAGGGTCTCTTTTCGCATCACTGACTGCCTGATGGTTTCAACTGGAGATGCCGTGTACTGAACCTGGGACCTTCTGCATGCCAAGCAGATGCTCTGCCACTGAGCCACGGTTCCCTCTCCAAAATCCACAAGAACCGTGCATCGATTAAAGACTTCCTGAAATATTAACAGCTTGATCTGGCCTCACTGGTGGACCTCCTGAGGGCACCTGGGTTTTGGCCCCTGTGTGACACAGAGTGCTGGACTGGATGGGCCACTGGCCTGATCCAACATGGCTCCTCTTTTGTGCTGATGTTCAGTGTGCGAGAAGGGAGGGAAGCAGTCAAGCTCAATAATAAATGAACTTTTGAGTTGAACACGTGAAGCTGCCTTATACTGAATCGGACCTTCAGGTCCGTCAAGGTCAGTACTGTCAACCTAGGCTGGCAGCGGCTTTCCAGGGTCTCGGGCAAAAGCCTTTCACGTCACCTCCTACCTGGTCCTTCCGACTGGAGAAACTGGGGATTGAACCTGGGACCTTCTGCAGGCAAAGCAGAGGCTCTGCCACTGAGCCACATTGTCTTTTGTGATACCCAGAATGTGGTCTCTGATCCATGGTGTTTGCCTCTTTTTCCTACAGGGAGAAGCCCCTTTTGCTGCACGGAACCTTCCGATATAAACGTCTGCCTCGATCTCGTGGCAGCCGGCGGTGTCGCCTCCTTGTTTCCACGGGGCTAAGAAGCTGTCTCCCCCGTAGGCGGCCACTGCCTTGAGAATGAGGGCCGAACAAGGGGACCCTCTCGCCGTGGGTCCGCAGCTGGAGGCCACCCTGGAGCACAAAGTGCAAACGGAAGAGCAGGATGGGGTCGTGGGGAAAGGCCCGCCTGCTGCCCAGGAGAGGGATAGCTGGGGACGCTGGAAAAAAACTGGGGAAGCTTCCTCTAAAGAGGACCTTGCCTGCTTAGATGCACAAGAGCATCAAGTGCCGGATCCAGAGTGTCCCGCAAAGGAGAACGTCCCAGAGCAGCTCCGGACGCGGGAGAGCTCGAGTAGGGAGAGCGGCTCCGAGATCTTTGGCGGGGCAGAAGTTTCCCAGCAGGGGCAGTGGGACGAAGAAGAGCCAGAGGAGCCGGTGAGCACGTTGGTGTTTCTCGAGAGGAAATCAGGTTTTTGAGAAAGAGGTTCTGCCAGGTGCCTGGTCAAAGCATTCCCTAAAGTGTCCCCGGAAACAAACGGTGCGCCCTTTTTGGGATAAGGAAATGATGGAAGATGCCCAAGGGGTCTGTGAACCCTTCTGGATAATTCTCTGACCCTGAGCTCTGCCCCACTGTTTGCAGAGAGGGGAAACCATACTGGATGTGTGTGGAGGACAGAAGATATCAACTGCTTTAGTGGTTCTGGCCAAGCGTATTGGGAGAGTTGGTTCCGATAGCAGAGTTTTGCCCAGTCATAGAAGCGTGACCCTGAGTGCAGTGAATAAATCCCCCAAGAAGTATATTGCCAAAAAGGCAGGGCTATTTTGGGGCAGGAACGCACAGGAACGGAGTTCCGACTGGCTCCCGAGTTGGCCACACCCAGCAGGAACTCATTAGCATAATAGGCCACACCCAACAGCAGAAACTCATTAGGATTGGCTACATTAGGGGTGTGTGGCCTAACATGCAAAGGAGTCCCTGCTACAAAAAAGGCCCTGGAACCGTTTTGACAACAAACAAGGTAAACAGAATAAGAAGCAAAAGGTGGGTGTGGCTGGATGACCACACTTCTGGCAACACGGGGCTGCAGCCTAATATGCTAATGAGCTGTGGTGTCAGGGTGTGGCCTGATATGCTAATGAGTTTCAGCTGTTGGGTGTGGCCTATTATGCTAATTCGTTCCTGCTGGGCTTTTTCTACAAAAAAAGCCCTGCAAAAGGTAAACTTACCTTTATTCAAGTAGATCCAGCTCACATTGGGGTTGCAGTCGAAAGGAGAGAGAGAGGTACTTTCCCTGTCACAAATGGCCAGCTTGTCCGGTGTCATGTGCAGGGGAGTCTGAGGGCATTGCCTCCATGGAAGGCCATGTGAAGAGAGTGAGAGGACAAAATGAAAGCGAGAGGAGGGCTCAGAGGGCATCTCCCAGGTTAAGACAAAGAGAGGCATCCCACTGAAGGGGAGAACATCCATACACGCTTAGAGTGATGTAGCACCCCCCCACACACACCCCCAATGTCCTTT